ATCCTTGATCCATAAAACCATTGACAGTGCAGACAAGATGGTTTGACTGTTCACACAATGTGCACAGCAAAACAGCCCTGATGATGAGTTACCTAGGTAATGGCTTATCTGATTTTAAGCCACACCAGTACCTGGTCAGATGGAGGATGGAAATACTGTTGAAACCCATTGAAGGAATAACGCACATGGAACCAGGTCCCCAGGAGACGGTTTCGTGGATTTATCTATAGAATGTTTGTTGACAAACTCTCAATCTTCCAGGAAGATTTAACCGGTCAGTTAGTCATGTCCGCTAAAAAATAGTAGGAGAATGGCTTTGGAAAATTCGAAAAATAATACAGCTGCTCCATGCGTTTCTGTCCTACATCATGAATCGTAAAATCCAGTTGAACGGTCCCTCTCGTTGACTAGGAAAATGTAGAACAACACTTTACATTTTGTCACATAAGCTTTGCTAGAATATCATCCTTATTCAACTGACGATCCACCAGCTTAGCGAACATCATTTAAAACTCCATGCTACATACCATCAATCATCGAATTTTGAACAGCCTACCATCTAAGGAGCAACTGCATTACAAGGCTTCCTCTATTCTTCCGTACTTAATTTGTGGGAGCTCTGAAATATAACAATGGGAATACTTGCTTGCAGTTCCTTTTGACATCCGAGAAGGACGGAGCATTAATTCCAAAATCCTCACCGAAGAAGCGCTCCTATAAATATATCGTAGTTTTTATTCGCCACAACTTCGCACTGCCCATGCAAGAGAATGGTATTATCTGTATACATATATATATATATATATGATCTGTGACGACTATGATCTTAGCTTGTTACTTAGAGAAAGATATCTTTTATTATTGTTGTTACCGCAAAGTGCGAGACAGCGACTGCAAATAGAATTGGAAAAACACGATTTCTGGATAAGTCGATCGCTTCCAGAAAGCATTTCAAATGAGTGTGTCATGCGTAGAGTATAACGACAAATCCATCAAAGACGCATGCGTGAGGTCATAATAATGGTTCGACGAATAACTGCCCATGTTATAGAGCTGATAAATCAGACTAGAATGAATACAAGCACCATAGAATGTAACACAGTGTTGATGGATATTTCGTCAAAAGGTAAATGCGACAGCACAGTCTGTTGCCAGAAGTGCTGGTAAGTAGGTCCATAGGAATGAGTGAATTTTCCGGCAAAGATTCAAGTTTGAAGTTAACGAGATTAACTGGGGCTGGAGGCAACAAACCAAAGTTACATTAGGGACTGTATTTTTGAGTTATGATCAGGTTGGTACAAAATGGGAGATATCGCTAAACCGATACGATGGTAAAAGTAAACTAAACAGGAACGAGAGCCACAACAGAGTCAAGCTCGAGATGGAATTATGGTAAGAAAGATCAAGTGACGTAATACCGACATTCGTGAAACCGTCTCCTTGGGACCGCTTTCCATGTAATGTAGGACTTTGACATATTCCCCCGGCACTTCCCCACCCCATCTGGTCGAACAGATTATCATCACTTCTCCCTATTTTCCGGGCTCTTTTCCTAAGCTGGTCGATCGAGCCAGTAAGCCCGTTAGTCAGTCATTGCTTCTTTAATTCAAGCACATTTTTTGAATGGTTACCAGTGCGTATTTGGCCATCCACTATGTGTTCGGAAACATTTGGTTTAGAAGCTTCGAACTATCATTTCAGGAGATCGACCCAGTCGTGACCAACAAGGTCAGTCTGGTTTCGACGCAGGACCCGAAAGCAGCAAATGATTACATCACTGATGCCATCTGATCTTTACCCGATATCCAACGGCTTGTGACCATGTGTATTAGCCAAAGTGTGTGCACCTTGATACCGAATGCTTACTTATGGCGTTTAGATTTTAGAAGCAGCCCTTCTTTTCTCCCTCTTGTTATTCGCCATTTACTTGGTGTATATGGCTGTACGATTGCGGAGTATTACTTCCAGTTACTGATGTACTGCTTTCGGTGGTGAGCATACTAAGGGTGAATCCCATAAATGCAGCTTAACCTTCTTTGTTTGGGGGAGTGACAGCATCCTGCGATGTGGAAACTTGGCTTCATTTTACTTAACCTGAAACGCTGCAGTCCGGTTGCATCGGCACTATGTCATGCAGTAAGCACCTTCATGGTGTAGCCAGAGCGTGGGCCAACTGCTCTTGGATACTTGTAAGTCATTCAGAAGATACAAATGATAGAAGAACTGTAATAAACCGGCTACTGCAAATATCGGTCATTTACTACTAGGCGAGTGAAAGAATCAAAACAAGTAGTGAGACGGCTAGCCATATCGTCTATCTGGATTTTGCTAAACCCTTCATTTGCACTGCTCGGGGGTGTCATTCTGTACAGGACTGAAGCTTAAGACGTTGAGCAAATGTTTTTACTTGAAATGGTAATTTCATTAACAGGTGCAGGTGTAAGTTAACACTTCACGGTTTGCTCTAGCTAAGAGGAAATTCTATTTGATACAGGCATTCAGGCCTCATACCCCAAGGTTAGTTAATGAACTCTCACATATAGTTATTATAACGCTTTTAGTACCACATCCGTTGCTACGCGCACATCTATCAAAACCCTATGAGATTCTAACCTACAGCCGTTTTCTCATGAGACAGAGGCTTAAGACACTGAGTTATGGGTGACGGTGGCGGACTTTCCGTGATTCTTCATTAGCGGAAATATAGCATGGTTGTTTCAGGGGCACCGTCAACGTGACTATACTGTAGCTGACCACATTGGCTTCCATAGTAAGGACATCCTTTGTCAGGTTATGATGTGTATTCTTGACTTAAACAAAATGTGTCGATTCTCCTCAAACTACTTAAGGATCCGTTAATACTTTCTGACAAGCTTTCGCTTGTGTTTTATACGATATTTTCTATAGCAGTATCAGTAATAAGATATGGGGCTTCCTATTTCTTTGCGCGCTTGAAATTATTTATTTTTGGCTTCCGTTGCTAATATGATTGGTGAATCTAGATAAGTAAACTCGGAATCACGACGTTACTTTCGATCAAGCTATGTTCAGGTGGATAATGTACCTAACCACCTCAGAGGTCTCCAGCGATTGATGCACCCATTTTTCGTCGCCAGCTCCATAGAAGATAGAACATTGCCAGCCAGGATTATGTCCTCAGAGCAGGTCCCTTTGCACCATCTTTTATGAACCTTTTCTTATGTTAGGTACTCTATTTACCGTGATAACTATGTTGTTTATGGCATAAATGATCTGTATACCTTACAATTACATGGGACCTGGATGCAGCAACCTTGTGGGGGAACACAGCACAACATTTACTTGCTTAAACATCGCCAATGGAGGGAGGAGTAACCAGCAGATTACAGCAAGTGTCAGCACCTGGCTGCAAGTTTCACCTTACTTCGGTGGTCCGTGAAAAAGCACCGACTTTCGAGGATCGATTAGTGGTCAGCACAAGTCGCAGCGTGGAGGAGTAAATTAGGTGAGAGTAAGTTTCCGTCCTCACCGCTGATATGACCAACGTCCACTGGTGAAACTTTGGCTACAGTTGGCAATATCGGTGTTTCATTAACAAGCTCTTTAGACGGATTATGCTGTTCACCTCCTAGCACTACTAAACAGGGATATTTTCTGGTTGATTTAGCAGCGGTGATTGATGCCGTCTGTATGGCTCAAAGTCATCAAATTCGCGCTACGAATTTCGCTTCAGTAGCTTATCTCCTAGTCTTCGACTGTGACGAAATTGGCACGTAATCATCAAACGCAAACGAGACGGTTAAGAAGCCGGTGACAAGGTAATGTGTTGTTAACCGCATCGGATACCTACACTGTAGGATGACACGTTATTTTAGATAATGATCTCATGGCTGATCATAAGAGGCAGAATAAATTCGAATCGTGTCATAGTTTTACTTCGGTCGGCGAGTTAACATACATAGTGGCTACTACTTCTATCCTAGTTCACTTTGAACACTAAAAACCAGCAACACTCCTATAGAAATTTTCCTTACATCATCCATACTGCGACGCTTCGGATTTCAGTGATACCATAGGTCCCATAAGGTAACAGCGACAAAGTTAACCAGTCACAAGTCGAACCCCGCAGGCTTACAAAAAGCAAAAACTGGAGCGGGAGTGTAGACACATAACTGAACTGGAAGACAATGCTGGTCAAACATTAATTGGGCGTCGCCGCTGCATATGGGTACTAAGGTGTCGATTGACTGGTACCCAAACTGTGTTTACCGAAGATTGGGAATCATCGTTATTTGTGAAACCCTTTTTCTCCGTCACAATTAACTTACCCTAACTCACGTTCTAATGTCAACCTTCAGCATCGTTGAGCTTGCAGACGCTTATGCTCAAAACCAACAGCACCCGAGGGCGTTTATAAAATGACAGTCAATTGGCCATTTGCTTCTTAAATACCGTAGAATGCTCTCTGATGTTAGCAACCTAACTAGAAGCCTCAGTATGTAAGTTGTGAAACAATATGAGGACCTGGAGTTGTTTATATCCACCCAGATAACATATTCTTGTCATCTTTTCGGACGATACGCATCAAGATCAGTGCAAGTTCATAGCTTATCATAGTATTATCTTACACTCAATGCTGAAAAATGTAACATCCGGCAGTGTTCCCTGGTAACTGGCCTGTGGACCATGTTGTATTTCGCTTGTCACGGCCTCTGAAGTCCGTTATTTAGGAAGTAGCACGGTAGCTTGGTTACATTGTTAACCTGGTCCTAATTCACAGATGTTACTCAGACCCAGTGTACACTCGCTTTCAGAACCTACTGCCTAACTCCTATGGATGGCTAACCAGAGCACCTGATACCATCACTGCCAACCATCAATTGGAACGACTGCAGTTGAACTGTTGAATGTAGATGAAAGTAGATTTTCTGTTTCCGTTTAAAATGTAGCGAGTATACATTAAAACTGCTATGTCAGTCCCAAAGTTCCTGTCGTCTAAAAGGCGGTCTAATAGTCGAGATATATTAGTTGTTCACTTCAGAAACATACATTTACTAAAAAAGCAAGCTACCATTTTAGTACTCCGCAAAATATGTCTTATTCATATGCTTCCCATGAGCGATCGTCGAAATGGGCCAATGGCAGAAAGCTGAGTTATGGAAACAGGAATATGATTTACGTTGTTTGAAATACAAAGACGCAGGCAAAACGAACGACGTATACAATAAGGCTGCATGCAGTTTTGGAAAGTTTCTCTCAAACTCCAACTGGGTGATGTTCATTTGCCGATAGCAGAAAACTTCAAATTATGGCGATGCTGGTCTATCCTTTTCTGATTTCTGACCTGGAAAAAACACTATTAGTACCAAGAGGATAAATGCGTCAGACGGGCCATTTGAATAGCATTTTGAATAAAATTTGATCCGGCGATAGGGAATACGAAGATTTCCAGCCACAAGTCATCATTTACTAAGCTCATACAAAGTGAGACACCAGTTTAACCTCTGGTATGATACTCAATCCATCAAAAATACCGTTTGCTTACATGTCATTTCGGTCAAGCGCATGTCTGTTGTCAGATTTCTCAATTTTGTTCATAGCATTCTTTCGGTTAATCCTTTTCTCCTCAATCAACTTGCGCAGGGCGACTACCTTTGGATCATTTGTCACCTCATCAGACTGCGACGACTTGAATTCACCCGATCCATTTCTGGTGAAAGAAAACGATACTAACTCACATAAACGTAGTGTAGGCGCAATACAACTGTTGTCGCTCGCGATTAAAAAAATGTTGCAAATGGTGTTTCGATGACTTTTATGTATCAAGAACAATCGGTTTACTAACTTTAACCAGAGTGAGGTCAACAAGCGAATCACTGAGAGCGGAATGGATTCCGAGCCACCAAACGACGCATTTAAGCAGCAAACGTTTTCTCGACCAATTTATTGTTACTCTTGTGTAGTGTATATATATTTTTAACACAAATACCTGTTAAAAGCTACTTGTCAAAATTGTATGGACACATGAAGTGTAAATCTAAAGATCAGTATCAGGTGGTTCATCTTGATAACAGTGGTGTAGCAAGTAGTTTTACCGACCGGGGAGGTGGTAAAATCCTTCTCATAGCAGTTGTACATACGAAAGCCACACAATGGACTCCGAGTAAAGTGCACATTACTTTTCAATGAAATGGATGATCGTTCGGGACACTGAGGTAAATTGGTTGAAAGTGACCACACTGGTGCAAGTAAGTGGATTGCTGAGAAAAATGTTTGCACAGGTGTGACACATGGCGCAAATGTGCTGTTGGTCATACAGAGTGTTATTAACAAAATTCCACCCTCAGTTTATGTAGAAATTATGCCCTTCACATTTTGTATCAAACAACCAACGGCGCTAAGAATGCGCCCCATATTACTTGCCCTAGGGAGCGGACCGACGCCCGCCCCCTTGCTGTGCCTCTGCTTTGGAGGCTCAGCTTTACTAAATGCGCCTGGTAAAAGCTTCGGCTTGAAATGTCTGTTGGAGTAGTTTCCAGTACATGGATACGAAAAGTTGCGTTTTGGATCTACATGATCGCTATCTCTTTTCTTTATACCGCAAGGGTTAAGTGGGAAGATTCGGAACTCAGAAGGCAAGTGAAATGATAAAAAAAGCACAAGCGATTAGGCAGTCGTCCAATTCGCCTGCAAGATTGATAAAAGCACCTAAACATACCTGATTTACACATGTGCCCAAGAATACCATGAAACCTATCTACCTTTGACTTGTCTACGGATGTCTGAATATCGTAGGGGAAATTTCGCCAACCATACAACGAATAGAACGCTCTAATTTTGGGATGCCAATTCTATTAGGTATTCGCTTGCTTATGTCGTGGCTTCGCTGTTAGAAAAGTTTACTGATCGTTTTATCGATACGTTTGAACCATTTTGCGGAAATTCCGGTATCATTCATTTTCACTACTGATGCTGCAATTTATGGATCAGGTTTTGTTTGGTATCTTTCCGCGAAATACGGAGTCACGTTTTGCAAATGCTACCTTAACATGTTACGTCACTTTCACGTTATTTTTGAAAAATGCCAATGGAATCACATTGTGGTTTCTTCTCGAAATTTGTTAAACACAGAGCAAATAACCTTAGGTGTCTTGATTGCTGCACTACAGTACAGATTTCACCTGTAGAATGTCCTGTCGATTCCTAGCATCGCTTGCGCTTAATGCCACATATTTTCATCCAAATGTTACGCAATGATTGTCCTCGAAGACAGCGAGAGCAAAGTATAATGTCTACAGACGCAGATCGCCGTCAAAAAGATTTAAGTATGAGCAGTTTTAAACACATTGTCACGCAAGCTGTCCTGGATTTCAGCCGAAGGTTCGACTCAGCCTTCCCTTTTCCTTCCTCTGACAATTCATTAATTCGCCATCATAGTTTTATCAGAAGCACGACTTCAACTGAAGAAAATAGCCGCTGACTTTTGGCTCTGCTATTTCTAAACATCCAAATGAATGTGCAGTGGCTAAGAAGTCAGAAAACTTACACGACAGAAGAAGTCGCGAAAGGAAGAGCATCTTCCCACTACTAATTAACAACAAGCCAGGCCAAGTAAGGCTCGAGATCATTTTCCTCCCGCAGGAACCGCTTCGAGTGGTAAGAGGCGATTAAATCTGATGTCTTGAACGTTCCTGAGTCCATGGATCTAAGTCATCCGGCATGGTATAATCGTGGCGTAGAGCTTTTGCGGAGCTTGGTTCTAGGGTTCCAAACCAAAAGCACTGCTGGGAGGGACCGACCTATGCGGGTAACGTTTACCGACGAAGCCAGCTCAAAGATGATACTGCCTTGGCTGAGGAGGGTGAAAGGCAGGAGGCTGCATATTCGTCTGGATAGAGATCCAGCTGACCGAGAGCGCCTCAGGTGTATCAGCATCGAGCTAAAACGGCTAATTGGTGAGGGAGAAACAAACCTACGTATTGCAAATTTTCGGATAATTACAACACGAAGGCGAATTCAGAGAAATTAGTAACTGAGACACTTCATCTATATGGATCATGAAATAAACGCACCCCAGTATCGTGCTTTGGGGGTCGCCACTGGGCGAAATATGCCAGTCAGTTATATAATTGTCAACCTGGATTATCCACTTTCGACCAACAAAAAAATTACTGATCCATTAGTGTAGCGGGATACATACTCCGCACTAGCACTGCTTGTGGTGAAGGAACTTTGTCAAATGCTTTGCTGAAGTCAATTTCAGTGAGATCAGCCAATTTCTCCTGGTTCAGTGTTTGCAAACACTCGCGCATCGTCACGAGCTGATTTATGATGTATGAGCGACCGCGTTAAAAAATGATATGTGGTCTTCAATAGGCATTTCGACTCGAGAAACCGTGAAAGATCCTACTTTAGGATCTTCTTAAGTGTTTTAGCAAAACAGCGTCCAACAGATCGGACGATGGTTGTCCACTGCTTGAAGCACCGCCTTTCGGTATTGTCTGTATGAATGAGCATTTTCAGTCGCTCGGTATTAAACCTGTAGACAGTGAGCGGCTGAACAGCTCAGTCACGGAAGAAGAGATGATGGCCGATGAGTATAAGTGGGTGGATTCCATCAGGTGCGGCAGACTTAGTTCTGTCAAGATCGGCCAGCACCTTGCGTATACCTTGAATGCTGCATTGCAAGCCGCCAAGTTCGACTTGGGTGGTACCCGTTCAACTGGTCACAGATACGTGCTCATTTGTAAACACGAAAGTGAAGTGCGCCGCCAGTGCAGATACACGATCCGTGCTCGAGGTTAGGGGCTGTCCACCTGAGACCTCCAACGTTGGCACATTGCCTGCAGATTTCAGGCGTTGCTTCACGTAGGCAAAGACCCTCTACATCTAACGTTCCCTGCGTGGAAGACTTATGAGTACCCATAGGAGCAATTATGGCTTATGTGAGCAGCTGTGGTGCTCGATCCACCCAAGGCGCGAACAGCTGCTCGTGGGTGTAATTTAGCGCAGTTTCATGAGCTACTTTTAGGATTGGCTGCCGCATCTCCGATACCGCATGAGTTCCTCCAATTTTCTACTCATGGGTGATTTCAATTCCTCTCGAATACGCTGGCCTGAATTTCAACTTATCACAGGATATCGTGAAGCTGATGCAAATTTCTCCGAAATAGTACCTGAAACTAAAGCAATAAAACATATCTGACACCTGAACATCCACTTGCATAGATTTGATCTTAACAAGCTGTGAACAGCATTTGTATGACATTCAGATCTTGGGGCCTGTGGCAGCAAGCGGCTACTCAGTCCTTAGTACCAACATAGAGAAGCCAATGAAGTATTCCCACGCACTGCAGCAAGCTTACAAATGTTGGATAACGGACGCCGACGGTCTGATTCGAACCGCGAACCAAGTGGATTGGTCTCTGTCTCAAACTGCATCTGTTGCAGCTTGATGGTCAATTATAAAGAATGGTGTAAACTAATTGTGCAACCAGTTTATGTTTCTGACATGTTTGAAACTCGGACTGGTGAGGACACATTGATTTGGCAAAGAATGTGGTAAACAGTATCGGCAGCGGTGCAGACTGTGGGACAAATCCTTCATGTCTGGCTCGGACGACAAATACCAAATGGATAAAAAGTGACGAAGCATTTGTAATGGTGCGAAAAGTGCAAGCGCTGGAATTTCGAAGAGCAGCTTGCAACCCCTGCAAATATTATCCCAAAGTGAGTCCTCGAATAGGTGGAATGGCGCCTGAGAACCGCAGGTGACCTATCAGTTATAAAGGGCGCGGATGGGCAGCTCCTAATCTTCAACACTGAGCGTGCATCCGCGTTGGCGTCGCGCTTCCTTTCGTGTTTGCAAATGACCAGGTGTCGGTACCGAGTTCAATGTGCATTGCGATTGCTGAACTCGGCATTCTGATTTGTGGTCATGAAGAGGTGTGTCAACTTCTCACCAAGCTTGAGGGCGCCAAACCTGCTGGCCATAGCACACTCCAGCCACTGATTCTCAAGTCCGGATCGGTCATCATCTCACCTGCTGTGACTGACTGGTTCAACAGATCACTATCCGAAGGTTTATTGCAGAGCGACTGGAAATGTTCAATGGTAAAGCCGATTCAGAAATATAGTGACCCCAGCAAAGTGGAAAGTTATAGGCCAAGCTGTCTGACAATTACTTCGAACAAGTTTTGCCGGTAAGGTCGGGAAGTAGTGCCTACTACATCTACCCAAGTAAGAATGTCTACTGACTCCCGCACGGCACGGTTTTATGTTAGGCCGCTCATGTATTACCAACCTGTTGATGAGGAGGCGTGAATGGTCGCAGGCAGTGAGTCAGGGAAAGTCTGTCGGCATAAGCTACATCGATTTCTGCAGAGCGTTCGTTAAGGTAAACCATGGGGTCCTCGTTAATAAGGTGGGGTATGCGATGTTAGTAAATCACTGCACCAGCGGATCCGGCTTTCTTGTTGGACGAAAGCGGAGGGCGCAGGTTAAGGGCCATCTAACTGACTGGTATTATTCGACCAGTGGTACACCCAAGGCACAGTGCTGGGCAAAAAATGTCCTTAATCTGCATCAACAATCTAGCTCAGCTTCTACGGTCGCTGTCAATCCAGTTTGCAGACGACCTGAAAATTTGAATTGTTTAGCATCCCCGACGACTGCGGCCTGCTACAGTAAGACCTCAACCGCCTTTCCATG